CTGAGATGTGAGGTTTGTGGCTTGAAATCAGCTTGGGCAGGAAAGTCCATGAGACTCTTAATTACCAATTAACCATCAAAAAGCCAGAAGTGGATCTGTGGCTCAAATGGTTAGAGTGCTAGTAGCCTTGACTGAAAAAGCTCAGGGACAGTGAGTAGACTATGTGTTTAAGCCCCAGAACTGGCACCAAAAAAAAAAAAAAAAAGGAAACATCATATTTAAAAAAAAAAAAAAGGTTGTTGTCAGGCTCCCGTCTGTAATCCTATCCACTCAGGAGCCTGAGCTCTGAAGATTGTTGTTCCATGCCACTCTGTGAGACTCTTATCTCCAGTTAACCACTGGAAAGCCGGAAGTGGTGCTGTGGTTCTAAGTGGTAGAGCACCAACCTTCAGTGCTGGCCCTGACTGAGTTCAAGCCCCACCACTGACAAAATAATAAATAAAATAAAACAGGGTGTTCTTTAAGTAGAACAAGTCACTCAGACATATTTTTATTCTTTTTAACCAAATTTGACTTTGACATTTGCCACACTATTTTTGAAAAATGCTGATATTGGGGCCTTCAGCTCAAAACTTGGACCACCTCATGATGTCATCTCTACCCAGGCCTGTGACAGCATTTTACACATTAGATGCTGTGGAAATGGGCTGATAAGATGGGCAAGTCCACAAAAGATAAAACTAGTGTTCCTGAGTAGAGGACATGGCGACTTGCCTTTTGTGGGATGAAAGTCTTAATGATATATGTGTGTATGTGTGTGTGTGTGTGTGTGTGTATAATATGATATATATTTAAGATATGTATATGTGTGTATGTGTATATATGTGTGTATATATATATATATATGTATATGTATATAAAATGCTGTGCATCTCCGTGAGTTCAGGAACTGCCTACTATGTCTTAATGGCCAAACCTTGAGGCCTGGCTTCCCAGTGCCCTGCGTGTGGCACGCAGCGTGCGCCACCGTGCGCAGCACTGCAGGCCAAGGCGAAGGCTTCCCTCGGGGACTGTGCAGATGCTATTGCTTCAGGCACTTACTGTCATTGTGCAAGGGAGCTGCTGCTGGACGTGCACCGGCAGCGCCAGGCCCCTGGAAGCCCGGAGCTGGTGCGCAGTGCAGCCCACCCACCCGCCCGAAGGCCCCACCGCACCGCACCGCCCGAGGGAACCGCGGGTTCTTGGCTGGATTTCTCCTTTAATTCTGGAGTAGGCAGATCTCCCGTGCCCAGGTGATGGAATCCAGCTGCTCCCGAGCTCCTGGCCCCAGCCGGCTGTGGGAAGCCCGTCCTTCACGCGGGGCCGCCGGCAGAGGCCCCTGGGCTCACGGCGTCCCGCGCTGCTCCTGACGGGCTGTAGGGCCACTGGGCTCCTGGGAGACGGAATGGAGCTATGGATGGAGGCCTGCGTTCCCTGAGTCAGTCTTTGCCCGCTCGCCAGGTGTGTGCGGAAGGCTCGGTCACCCCATGGAGAGGCCAGGCTCCTCGGGAACGATCCGCTCTGCCTCTGGGGTGCAGGGTCCCCCAACTCCGTTCTCCAGAGGCCTCTTTCAGATCCCTGTCCTTTTTCCACAGAGAAGTTCCTCTCCTTCCCGAAAACAAACCCCAGCAGGTCACTAAGGGACATTCTGAGAAAGGGGCTAGGGCCTCCAGTGTCGGGCTACTCCTCCGAAGGAAGAAGGAGTTGGAATGATGGGCAAGGCCAGGAAAAAGGAGTGGAAACGGGGAGGGAGGAGGATGGGAAGAGAGGAATGGAAGAAAGCAGGGGGGGGGGGTGGAGAGGGAGACAGACAGGCAGACAGACAGACAGATTGAATGTCTTTGTTTTCACAACTGGGTTAGACTGATTCTCTCTAACTGCACACCCAGCGCTAAACTTCATTGTTCTTAGAAATTGCCTTTCCTCTCAACCCAGCAGATGGTCTGGGTGTGTTTGCTAGCACAGTGAAGTATTTCACCATTAAAATACCAAAAAGGAAAAAAAAAATCAACATGCGTGTTGGCCGGTGTAAATTTAGTGAAGTTGTCGGACACGGTGGGACGCACACTTGGTTTATGTAAATTGTAACAAGCAGCCGCCTGTTTACAAGAGTATTGGGTGGCATTATACCTCCCCAGCCATGTCTCTTGTTGGAATGGTGAGCAATGATGAAGAGGAAAAAGCCAAAAAAAAAAAAAAAAGCCCAATAAAGTGCTGAGCTCATTATTATAACATGAAAAGTTCTAATCAGATTATGCCTAAAATTGGATTTAGGTACTTCATTTGCAGCCAGTTTCGTAAGAGCTGAATTTTCCTAAGAAAACGGGAATGTGCTGAAACCATGGCAATCTGACTTCAAAATAAAAACCACAAACAGGTTTAGAATATAAGCTTTGAACAAACAGCCTCTTCAGATCCAAGTGAAATAGCAACACGGCTTAGCGGTCAGACTGTGTGACAGTTAACACTTTAGGAAGTTGACAATGCCAGGGTTCCTGCGTGGCAGTGTACATTAGAAGATGGGCATGAAGATTCCAATAATTGGTGGAGGTTTTATTCTTCATTTTTTTAAAGAAAAGGTTCTTGTTATATACCCCTGCTGGCTTTGAACTCATGATCTTTCTGCCTTATTCTCCTAAGTGCTGGGATGATTGTAAGTATGCACTACCACTTAGGTGTTCATTCTAATAATTTTGAAGGTCTTGGGGCACAGTATTGGGATATGAATTTAGGGTCAAGTACTTGCTAGGCAAGTACTCTGTCACTTGACCCACACTCCTAGCCCCTTTATTTATTTATTTAGCTTTACCTATGAATAAGGTGTCTTGTTTTTGCCCTGGTCATCCTCTGACCATACTAAACCTTCCATCTACCTGAAACTGCAGATGTGGACCACCATGCCAATCCTTAATTTAGGTTTTAAAATGCATTTTGGGCCAGATGCCAGTGGCTCCACACCTGTAATTCTTGCTACTCAGGAAGCTGAGATTTGAGTATCATGATTAGAAGCCTGCTCAGACAGAAAAGTCCATGAGACATTTAACCACCAAAAACCCAGAAGTGGATCTGTGGCTCAGATGGTAAAGCAATAGCTTTGACCAAAAAGGCCCAGGAACAATGCTTGGGTTCTCTGAGTTCAAGCCCCACAACTACCACCATCACCAAAAAAAAAAAAAAGCATTTTGGCTTAGCCACTCTAGTGTTCTCCTTTGATTTCCCAGGAAATCTATCCCAATAGACGGAGGCAAAGCTGACTTGCAACTGAATGAAAACCTGGGAGTTTGAATGCTTACAAACTGGAATAATCTGTAGCTTGTAGTTTGTCCAGGCTACATGAGCATGACACATTTTAGGGCTTCTGAGGACAAGGTTCTAAACACCTGCATTACCAAGAAGTGGGAAGAATTCCTCCTGCAGCTGTAGACTGCCTTAGAATCACAATATCAAACTACCTTCTGTCCTTCATCTTCAGTGTTTCTGTATTTAGTGGCTGCAAGTAGAGTGCATGGTGGATGAATTCCAGAGCTGTGGAGTAGCCAAAGGCGTGACATGGAACCAAATTACTATTGGCTACATCATCCCTGATTTAGCTACTATGAGCTTTCTCTTGCTTTGTCTAAGCATGGCCTAATTATTGGCAGCCAAAGCAGGATTCCACATTGCTGTCCTAAACTGGTCCTATGTACTTACTGTTTCCATCTGACCCGACAGCTCTAAGCTACTGTTGCCTCACACCATTAACCCAGACTACATTTGGAAGCTTTCCTTGCTTCCATGGAGTCAGCCTACATCCATCTGGTTTAGATCTACTGTTCTGAGTCATCTCATTGATTAGATTTAAAGTCCACATTGGCATAAATAAGTCTTGTCTCTATTTTTCCTAGATAAATATTGCTATTCAACTGGCTATATATTGTTAAAAAAAATTTTAAGTGGCACTGTGGCACAAGTGGTAGAGCACTCACCTTGAGCTGAGGAGCTGAGGGACAGCGTCCAGGCCCGGAGTTCAAGCCCCACGACTGACCGAAAAAAAAAAAAAAAACTCTTCCCAAATGAAACTACTTTTGATAAGTATTCATTCTGTTGAGGGCTGTTGGCAAGCTGGAGAAATTTGTTTTTGAAGTTGAAATTGGCAGGAAGTAATGGCGCTAAGTGCTTTCTTTCTCTTGATACTTCTTGATACTACCCCTTAGCCCTCAATATACTGCCACCTTCGTCACTGACTCAAAGGCAATCAATAACATATTTGGCTTCATCCCATACAATTTTGGGAGGAATAATTCAAATATTGAAGCGGACTTTCAACCTTGCAACTTTTCATAACTGGAGAAAAAGACTGTCAAATCAAAGGGAAAAATGTATTTGTCAAGCACTTTCTGAGGGGATTTCATGGTGATCTTAAAGCTGTCTTGCACCTGAACAAGTGGGAGATTTTCTTCTAAAATAGTGTCAGAGTCCTTTGAGCACCTTCCTAATTGAACGTCAAGCCCAAACTCAGTGACAAAAGAATAAGATAACAATAATAATAGGCTATGATACTTGGGGAAAAAATAAAAACAAATCCTTATTTTTTCCCAAATGTGAATACGCTGACAGATCAAGACTGCCATTATCCAAATGTCATCCAGTTTCTTACATTTCTTAAGTGAGAAAATGCAGATAAAGGACATGCTTAGGCTTTAGTTAATTCCCAATCAATGAACAATTGCCTATTAATTATTCTACCTTCTCAATCGGACAGCACCACTAATGAACAAAGTGCCACTATTATTTAGAAATACAACAGTGTGTGTGCTGGTGGATCCCAGCTTTGGTACAGCCATCTTGAATGCAGATAGAAGCAATTACTCCCCTATTTGACTGGAAGATTTATCTCAAATACCACTTATTTGATGGGCAAGAAATGTGTAGATCTCACAATTGGTACTCAGACTGAATCCTCATAGCAATTTCATAGACTGTTTGATTATGTTTCTGTTAACAATACAGATAAACTTAGGAGATACATTTTCTTTATATAGAATGAAGCTCGAATCAGAATAGTGAAAACACTTGAAGAGTTTGATCTGGGTCCAACTGAAAAGTGTGTTCGAGTAAACTCGGTATCCAGTGGCCTGGCTGGAGCTGACCTGGAGACTCTCCTCCAGTCCCGAGTCCTGCCATCCAGCCTAATGCTACCGAAAGTGGAGGGTCCTGAAGAAATTCAGTGGGTGAGTAGCTAATGCTTTGCTGTAAGACACTGGGGCCAGCTAAGGAGTAGCAGATAAAAGGATTGGCGTGTCACTGGTTTTTTAAATGCATACAGAGAGGAGAGAGAGAAGGGCAGTGAGCAAACGGAGTGCACAAGCACCTGTTTCCTTCCCCTGGACCTAGTGCTTTGCCCAAAGCATTCTGTACAACAGCTCCACTTTTTGAAGAAAGATGCTTCTGCTTCCTAATTGAACTTGTAGTGTGATGAGCACACCTCTCATGGCCCTCACAGAGCAGACCCAGGACCATGGCTTGCCTGAGTGTGGCATCCCTGTTCCAGGCTGCAGGCCGGAAGCCAAGGCCTCCACCTGGACGAGCTATGACGTAAGGGGCGCCTGCTGAGATGCATTTGAAATCATCACCGGCAGTGAGAGGACACTCACTGCATATTAAAAAATGAACCCAAAGGAAGGGAAGAAAAGGTCACTGCTTAGGGCAGCTAGAGGAATAAACAGGAAGCTTTTAACTAGTGGTTTTAATTAGCACAGATATTATTTCCTGAACAGTTCTCTAGTGTGTCCTTTTTTTAAATTGTTGACAGGTGTGCTTGCGTTTCATGACAGACCTATCAGCCAATAAAAGCCTGAAATATAAAGTGGATGGCATGTCACATTACTTAAGAAAACTTTTGAAATGGGTTCAATTATAACTGTGATTGTTTTCCTTGCAAAATAAGGAAAGGCTAGATATTATTGGGGAGTTGCTGTTATTCTGCAGGTTTCTGTGGAACAAAATAACCTTTTAGTTGGATTCCCCCTGGGACAGAGCCCGAGATCTAGAGATGCTGGGTGGGTTTGTTGTGGGGACAAATGGGTAGTGTGGGACCACAGTGATATCTAGTATTATCTTGAAGTTTTTGGAAACAGCAACAGCTCTCCTCTCGTAACAACCTGGTGAAGTCCTCACCTTTTTCATTTTTATTTTTTTAATACAACTCTATATAGCAGATCTGTCCTGTTCAGTACAGGGATCACCTGACACGTGGTGCCTGAGCCCTTGAAATGTGGCCAGTGCAAATTGAGATGTACTCAAAGCATAAACTACACACCTGATTTTGAAGACTGGCTACTCCCCTTGTGAGATTTTTCTTTAAAAGGATGTAAAATATGTCAATAAACTTTCTATTGATTGTACGCTGAAATGATATCGAGGATCTATCAAGTTGGATATAAGAGATGATGAAAATAAATTAACCTCCCCTGTTCCATTTTACTCTTGGAATAGAGCCACTAGAAAATTTAAAGTTGTACACATACATACCACTGTTTCTGTTAGATATTTCTTCAATTCCATCCTCAGGGACTAGTATTTACTTAGTAAAGTGGAGTTCTCCTGGCAAGGATACCCTCAGACTCGGAGAGACTGGCGTGATTGTGTTAATGGCCTAAGGGCTCAGCCTCCATTCAGATATGTCTTAAGTTGATGGAAAAGGACTCTGAAGTCACTTCTCCCTTTGGTTTCATCGTTAATGCCTGTTTATCACCAGCATTACCCTTATTTAAGAGGGGGATACCCCCAGACTTCAGCCAAGGCCTCTGGACTCTGTTTCAAATTCTTGAATGTATGGGACATGCTGAAATTTAAATAGAACTAACTCTCCCTGAGCAGAAGTCGTCTTTGGAGCTGTTTATTTTTTCCTCTCCGTTTGTATTTATGCGAAGCGTAAAAACCCAGAGCCTGATGCACAACTGAAAGATGGGCTTACTTGTTTTCTTTTGTGTGAGAATCTCTTGCTCGCCTTTTGTGGCTAGTGTGGGTTCTTGTTTGACTGGCACGGCTTATTGGACTATAACAAGCGTAACTCGGCCTCTTTTGTCGCGGGACAATTCTCCCACAAATCCCGAACAGTGAGCATTCTTCCAACACACTATTGGGTGTGCACTGGAATTGAAAGAATTGCTGAGCCCTGCTACTTCATCTCCTCCCCAATCTCTTTGTAATTTTTCCCCCTTCTTATCCTCCCCCTCCCCAGCCCCATCCACCTCGCTGAAATGAACACTTTACCAGGCCGGAAACATTTAATCGTCTCCTTTTGAAAAAAATTAATTGAAACTTCTCCACTAGTTACCTTTTGTGTTAGTACTTAATGCAATTTTTTAAGAGAGAGGGGAGAAGGGGAAGGGGAGGAGGGGCTAGCATATTTAATTTTTTAAATGCCCTCCTATTGGCTTAAAAACAAAAGACACTGAAGATTTGACTCAGTAAGAACAGGGAATATCTTGTAAAAAAAAAAAAAAAGAGGTTTACCTAGTTGTAAACCTTATGGTTTTTGTAGTTAAAATGATTATCACAAAGAACAGTAACATTGCAAATGTTCTGTAATGAGCAAAGAAAATCTACTTGTTCATAGTCAACTCCCCCCCCCCACCACTAATATTTCACTGCCCATTCTCTAGCTTAATTGTGACATAAACTATGTTTTCTTTTACCTTGCATTGAAAACCATGAATTTGGTCACATCGTGGCCTTCTCTGCTTTGGTTGAGTTATTCCTTTCCGTGGAAGTTACTAAGGGAGGTGATGGTGTCTACAAAGGGAGGGGCAGGGAACAACCGGGAATCATTCCTCATTACTGAAAGCTGTGATTTATTTTAGCCTAATTGTAAAGTTACTGCAAATTGCTCAAAAGCTTTTTAAAGATCCCAGTGATTAGATTTTTTTAAGGGGGGGGGTGCACAGTAGAGGAGGGGGCAGCTAAAAGGGGAAATAACACCTCTAATCCCGCTTCTGGTAAATAGGCTGCCAGCTTTTAAAATGAGTTTCCTTTCTATTAGTCAGAATATTATGCTAAGCCTTAAGCATTAGTTTTTTTATGTTGCCATAGCAGCCTTATTCCTGCAGGGTGGTGACCTGTGATGATTACAGTACAAAGCTTATAGGGTCTTGAAACCCCCTTTGAAGATGAAAAGTCTTTGATGGTTTATATTTATGCAAATCTCTTAGATATGATTTACCCAACTGAGACTGAATGGAGAGATGATTAAAATTCCCTTTTCCTTTGATATCAATTAATGGCAGAATATTCCTTAAATTTTAAATGAATATATGTTTTCATCTTTATTTACAAAAATATCTTTATCATACCTGTATTGCTTTTTTATCTTCCCACATCTTATTAGATCTAGATAGACATAATAGATTTACAATTTAGATTGTGGGTTTTTTTTCCCCCTTTTGAAAGAGGAGGTGGGGGGAATCTGGGCGAGAGCTTTTGTATGTTTCCAGATGATAGATTTTTGGAATTTGGGCTACCCCACTGGCAGCACAGAGCTAGCTGTGAACTGGTCTCATGGAAAAAATTGGCAAGCTTTGGTCTTCAAAGAATTAAACTTCCTTTTTAAGGTCTTCCTAGGTAAGCTAAAAAAATTTTGAAGAAAAACCTTCAGAACAAAGGGTAATGGTGCTATCAGGAATAATATAGAATCCTTGTAGAAGGCAGCTGAACAGTTACACTGATGGCAGTGCTGGGCACGAGAAAAACAGAATGGCAGGTAGAGGAGCCGGCATTGTTTTAAGGGCCTACCATTTGCATTTAATGCAAAGAGGGCTATAGGTCTCAAGTAAATATAGTTTCAAGGAAAGCATTTAAACTTGGATTCTCTCCTTCCAGTCTAACTCCTAGGCCTCAAATTGCTCCTCTGGGGGAAGGAGATTGCAATGCTTGGGGTTTTACATTTAGTTTGGTGGGAACTTTGTTACTTTTTTTTTTTTTTTTAATTCTTTTGTGTAAAGGAAGAAGGCTGGGATATTACTTCCTCAGGTCAAAGACTTAAATACTACTTCTGTGGCTAGGTTTCAGGGGTTGTACTTTTCCCCCCACTAATCACCTATGACACTTTTTAGTTTTTAGACAAATTCTCATTCCACTTAAAAGGCCGAAAACTTGAACAACCAATGAATTTAATCCCCTTTGTGGAAACTGCAATGGGTTTGCTCAATTTTAAGGTAAGAAAAACCATAATGTGATTACATAAGTTAGTATTTGATTTCTCGTTTAAAGAGAATTGTTTTGAATTTTACCATCTACTTAAAAAATATATTTTTAGAAGGGCTTATAAGCAAGATTAAACCTTGATCACTATTTGTTATCTGTAATAGTCCAAAAACAAGGTATCAGCATCTTAGAAAACAAAGAAATTGATTAAGGAAAAAGGAAAAGCTTCCCAGTCCTAAATCTGGAAAACAAAATATTGACATATCCTAGTAATAATTAAGTAACTAATCACTTTATACATATGTGCTTTGAATTATTACATTTATAAGGTAACTGTACATAAAAAACATATTTTGTCACTTGTTTAAATTAACTTGGTTCATTTTCTTTCCATCTGAAAATTTTCTGGCTTCTTTATAGCAGTCTTAGTTCTAACATCTAGCAGATAAGCTCATTGTTTGTAAATTGATGCGCACAAATAATTTATGGGCTATTATTTCACTTTGCCACATTAGAACATAAAATATGTTCTAATCCACATAAGTCAAGTGTCTTTAATGTGGTGTGGGTGCATTAAATGACCTGCCTTCCCAAATTCTTGGCTAGCTTTTTGGTCTTCTTTTATATCGTTTTGAAAATATGCATCTCATTCCATCTGACCTGGGAACAGTTACCTAGCACTCCCTGCAACCTCCCCTCAGAGTTTCTAGCTCTTTTTGTTTCTTTTTCTGCCTCTTCTTCTGCCCCAGAGAGCAAAAGGAAGAAATCACTAAAAACAATGGAAAAGGTAGTTGCCGTGCTCTGGAGAGAAAATGTGTGAGCAAATGTTTAGAAGAAACCAAGACCTGTGGGATGGTACAGGAGGGGCTGAGTGAAGATGTTTGGGGGCTGCCTGCAGCCTTGTCTTATGTCAGCTCGTTTGCACAAATAGCCACCAGCTTGTCCAGCCTGCCTAGAGCCCTCCAAATAGAATCAAAAGCACATTCTTTAGATGCAACCAGATTCATAGTGATTGAATTTTAAGCACTGTTTTGCCATTTGATTGCATAATGTACTTAAGGAGCTCTTCCAGCACCTGAAATGAATCAGCAGTGTCCCACCAGTTTCTCATTTCTTGCCACCTATATATATATTAGCAGGTTACATCTCTACCTTCTGAGATTCACAGTTCTGTCTGTGATGAATGTTCTTAATCTTTATATTCATTTAGAAATGCCCAAGTTGCTTTCTTAATATATCATGAACGACTTGTTGCATTTTATTTTCCCCTCTAAAGTTGTAGGTTTTGTGTACATGTCTTTAATCCTGAGACCATTTACTTGAACCTAATGTAAATAATCCAATTAGTTTGACTTTAAAATTCTTTCCTCCTCTCCTGTGGTTTTATGTCTATTATTTGAGAGTCTTTGGAAGCACAAAAACAAATTTGAGGAAAATATAAACAAGTTATAATATAATCACAATGAGTAAACTCAAAGTTCCTCTAGAAGTTGGACGACATACGTTGAACATTAGAAGCATGTTCACTGTATGGAAAGCTATATTAACATAATCCACTAGGCAAGGCAAAGGCACACAGAGCACTTCTATGACTGATACTAAATTCCTGTGGGAAGGGTTAAATTTGGACTAGACTTACAGGACTGCTTCAGCCTACTAGGGTCAAGAGCTGGGTCTCCGTTACTGGGGTACCCTGGGATCCCACAATTTGTGCGTTTCTGTGAGACTTGGTTCTGTTCTGTTCTTTTCCAGGCAGTGTGTGAAGAAACAGTAAAGATTGGGCCTCCACTGGGCCTTTTTCTAGACGCAGTGGTTTTTGGAGGAGAAGATTTTCGAGCCAGCATAGGTGCCAAAGACTTCTCTCTCTTCCTCATCTATGTGTGTGTGTGTGTGTGTGTGTGTGTGTGTGTGTGTGCGTGTCTATACTATATACAATTTTTTCTTTGCCCCCCTCATGGACATTTACATAACAATGTGTATTTACCAACCATGACAATGGCTTTTCCCCACTTCCTGATGATTTAGGGCTCCTCAGAGCTGTCCTGCTTCCAGAACACTGCATTTTTTACTTTTGTTCATTTGTAAAGTAACTGATAAAAAGCTTGTTGCACATTGAAGAGTATACGTTGCTCCTAATAAACACACTACCTGATCAGCCTCATGGTGGCTTAAATGTTCTGTCTTCACATCAGTCTGAGGGCTGGCTTGCCCCTTTCAAACAAATATAAAGTGCTTTCACATTGCCCTCGTGAATTATTTTTCTACATTAAATGTAGTATGTAAATATTATTTAAGCCAGACCTTAAATTTACTTTAAAATATATTCCAAAGCCCTTCTTATCAAGTATTTACTGAGACCTTGCTGATTTTGGTTTTCACTGATGTTCCCCGTTCCTAAGCACTGAGCGTCTGGCCAGGGTGTTGGTGTAACTGGGGTGGGTAGTGACACAGAACCCATTTCCAGAACAGTATACCATTGACGTGGAGACATTTTCCCTAAGCAGCCAGTACCACAGACAAGCAAACAGTGAACGCCATCCACACATACACCTCCCGTGTGAGGTGAATAAAAGGAATTTATTTTAATACTAGTGCTCCCTGGAGACTTGTGTGTCCCACAGCTTGGTGAACTGGAGAAAGCATTGCTCCCGGAATAAGTGACTTTCCCTTACTCCCTCCAAAGGTTGAAGTGTTGGGCCCAGAACCTCAGTGAGAACAGGACACTGCAAACCCAGCACAGTTGGGCCAGCCCGGCTCAGCCATTGTGCACTCATGTGAGCAGTCAGCCGTGTCCCTGCCCGCTTCTTAAGCCACTTTCTGTGGTGCTGTCGTTGGACTGACACTTCCCAAACAATGACAAGATGGAGAAAAATCTATCAGGAAATCACGGTGACCCTAATGCCACCTCCTGAAATAAACAGGGCCTTTCTTTGTGGCATGTAAAAATGGTTATATTGAGAGACGCTCAGCCAGTGAAATAGACATGTATGTGGTTTAGATCTGCCCTTCTGTGCCCCTCTCTTCCTGTACATTTGAATATGTATTGTTCTGAGAAGCATTTCCCAGGGAGACACAGCTGTCTGTACAAACTGAATTTTTATAATAAGTGCCTTTCCAAAGTTAGTAAATAAATAATAAATGTTTCTCAAAGTTAAAAGCCTCTATTTTCTGTCCACATTCCTGTTTTCAGGAGCAACAAGTAGTAAAGAGACCCAGGACATCCTCTATGCCCGGCAGAAGATTGTTGTGGTAGCAAAGGCCTTCGGCCTACAAGCCATTGATCTGGTGTACATCGACTTCCGGGATGGAGACGGCCTTCTCAAACAGTCAAGACAGGGAGCTGCCATGGGCTTCACTGGTATGACTTCTAATGTGATCTTTGAAAGCAGTGTTTAGATTAGCAACTATCCCAGCAAAAGAGAAGTAGAACCAGAAAACGCATCTCTAACATCACCAGAAGTCTCATATATTTATCCCCCTATCTGCCACAGGAAAAGTTCCAATAGAACTGACAAACAAATCATCACATTTTTATTTGGCTTTGAAAATCAAAAGATGGTCTACTCATTTTATTTTCTCTTCACATTCATTACCACTTGTTTTTCTATCCTCTTCAGTATTTTATTATAGTTTTTAGTTAAGCCTTGGGAAGGGGTGAGGCTGTTTCAAAAATGGTTTTGAGTGAATTGTTAGAAGGATTTGGGATGATGTGTAGAAGACTTTCCCCAAATAGTCAAAATATTAATTTGTTTCTTTAACAAATGTTGATATCATCTGTGATCTGATTTGCGCACATAACTAGTTTTTCCTTCTTTGGCCACTCCAGGCCCTTCTCTCCCCCATTCCCCAGTTAAAGTATCGGCGCACCTGGCAACACGTGGGCCAGTGGCCCGTGGGGTCAGCAGAGGCCTCCTGGGGCTCAGGCGGGCATCTGCCCATCGGCGTACCTGGTAGCTCCTGACCTCACAAAACCAGGAAGCCACTGAAAATGGTGGTTTTTACAACAGAAATATGAGAAATATGTATATTTTTGTAAAAGTAACCATAGGACCTTTTGGCCACTATGGGGACCATAGACCAGCAGTCCTTTCTTGTTTATTTTCATGCTGAAAATGCTAAGAATAGTACTAGAAATACACCAAGTAATGAGAGAACGAAGCAAGTATCACTTCTATCAGTATTTTGATACTTGTATCTAATTTGCATTTGCTGAAAGAAAAGTCTCATAATGTCCTCTGAAATGTAAAAGATGGCTGGACAGAGTATAACTTAACCCAAAACAAAATCGAAAGACAGAGTAATTAGTTAAAGAGTAATATAGTTATTTTAGAATTAAATAAAGCACTGAAATTTGTATTTTTAACACAGAACTAAAATAATCATGAACTTCTAATTCTTTGAATAAAAAAAAGGAAAGGTGATCCCTTTTAGAGAAATGTTTTTCCATTGTCTGAACTGTTCCTTGAATGACTCCTCCCTACGTATAATAGTGACTGAGAAAGAAAAGAGCCCCCTGACATGGCCACGAGGTGGTTCTTTTTTTTTTTTTTCCGGTTGTGGGGCCTGAACTCTGGGCCTGGACACTGTCCCTCAGCTCTTCAGCTCAAGGCTAGCACTCTACCACTTGAGCCACAGCGCCACTTCCAGCTTTTTCTGTTTATGTGATGCTGAGGAATCGAACCCAGGGCCTCATGCATGCAAGGCAAGCACTCTACTACTGAGCCAGTAGGAGGTTGTTCTTGTCCCTGTCTCTTTCCAACAACTGGTTAGGATGTGGCCCAAATGGAAAACGTTGGAGGGAAAAAACTTCACAAAATCTACCTAATAGACCCTGATGTCATTTTCCTAAAATGTGTGGCACTGGCTGCTAGGCAGCCAGATGTTGCCCTGTAGTCAGAACCGACTCAATAGAAAAGAGAGGGTCCTGGCCTCTGCCACCAGCCCCCAGAAATGGCCTGGGCTTCCTCAGCTTCCTCTGGGATGCTGTTTGTCCCAGAGACTCTAAGGGGGTGGGAGAGTTTCTGAGGGGCACAGGAGTGAATTAAATTGGTCCCCAATTTAATCACAGAAGACAGGCTATTTCAAATCCGGTTTAAATTTCTAGACTGTGCCCAACTCAGCACGAGAAACTTATGGACCTGGCACTGTTGTTTCTCCACAACAGGGAGTATTAAATCACTGCGAAATGGAGGCGGGGGGACGGGGAGGAACTGAGGGCATGGTGCCCATTGCATATTCAAGTGAACACGGCCATACGCGGGGCCACACACTAGAACCATTCTGTAATTTTTAAAGAGAAGGTCTTTGTTGCCCCAATTATATTTCTACAGATAAATAAAAGGCAATTAAAAGGTATGAGATTATGTATAGTATTTGTTTAAAGAAATAAATGCTTTTACTACTTTAGACTACTCATGATCTGTTTGGCATTTAATTTCCATACCTTACGCCTTTCAGGAGAAGAGAGGAAAGGAGAGAAAAGAAGAAAGTCCGGAGGGAGGACCTGTGGTGGGGAGAGAGCAGGCGGGGACCATGAAAGAAATATAAGTACCCCGGAATACCTATCTGGACCAGGTAGTGGAAAGGTTTAAAATCCACAGGAAAGATTGTGTTATCCACAACACTCATAAAGAAGATTGAGTTTGGGCTATAAGAATTTTCTGTACTTTCAAAATAAGTATTTCAAAATTTGTCATGTTTTAAAAGTCATATACCCAAATGGGGGCTATAGTTTCTTTACTACAGTCATTATTTCCTGGGGTAACAATCCATGTTGATTGACTTTAAATCGATGCATTGGCTAGATAAATAGTTACTAACTTTAGGTTTTGTTTTTTGTTGTTTTTTTTTTTAATAAAAAGACACTCAAACTAAATCTTGGAATAAAGCTTTACCAGCTGACTTAGTCATTATAGTTACTCCAGGACTGCATGCTGAGAAGAAAGATTATAAATATGAAGCACTATAGGTTTTCTTCTTTTTGCAGTCTTTTGTAGAAGACAAAAATGACACCATCATACAGTTACCTAAAAGACTTGACAGGTATTGATTTAAAGCAAGATATATCAAGTGGTACTGTAAAAAGGATTTCATGGTCATAAATTTTAATGTCGTCCAATTTTGCACCCTCTCAGTAACTTGTCAATAACAACTCTTCTGGATAAAATATTTGCCTCATTCTCACATGGCATTAAAGCCTGTGGCTAGTTGTTGGAATACATACAATACAATAAAAGAAAAGTTCACATACGAATGTACGGAAATTTCTAAAACCTAAAAATAGCCCAGTTACCAAAATATAGGTACCCAGGTGCTCTCAGAGATTTCACAGTATTGTAAGTAGATTATTTGCTCCTCAAATTACAGTACCTATAGCAGGAAGTTGCTATGAAATATGCTTTGTTAATTATGTACATAATTGTAAGTTATGTACATAACTTAGAAAATTCAGGACTAACAATTAGTAGAAAATGACTACCTTTATTATGGCAACCTTTATTAATAATATAGTAACAATTGTTATATTACTAAAATATTATCTCAATATCTATTATTGGAAAGAGCTCTTATGTTGTTTCCAGATATTATTCTTCAAATAGTTTAAAGTTCTATGATTTGTTATTTGAATAATACTGTTATTAAATAATTGTTAAATAAATTAATAAATTATTTATTAAAATAATAGATTTAAATTATTAAATAATAATTACTGTTTAAGTAATATTTAATGATAATACTTAGTAATTTAATATTTAACAATAGTGTTACAATTATTTATTATTTAAATAATAGTGATTTAAATAATCATAAAGTACTATTCTTTATATAGGTTTTTAATGTTTTATTAGTATGCTTACAGAATGAAATAGCAATGAAAGGATTTTGTACTTATAGCATGGCAAAGAAAAGATATTAAACTCCTTTAAATGAAGAACTAAAAATCCAACATTGTTCCTATTTCTATTCCACAGAATAATTGAAGTAACAAAACTTTATAAAAAGATTTTATAAATGTATAAAAAATTATAAATGCATAAAAACATTTTCTAAAACATTCAGGTTTAATGCATACTAGGTAAATATTAAAACAACTATTTTAAAAGCTGAGTAAATTAATATACCAACAAATATATCCAAGAGAGTGAATGAGCATTAAGAGTACATTCATTTTTAAAGAGGCAAATTGTATCTGTAACTTTATCATGTAATAAAACAATCTTACCATTATTATATCATTAAATTATCCTGCATTTTATTAATAGCCTAATTAGATTTCACATTTCCCTGATTACTAAATTGTTTTTTTCCCAACAACAGCATGATTTCACAGAAGCCTTAGACACATAAATCTGTATGATATTTTTATTTAAAATCCTTAATCTGTATGATATTTTTATTTAAAATCCTTAAGCTTCAAAAAGAACTAAGTATTTCTGAAGGTATGTCTATAGAGATAGGAATTTTTTCTAGCAGTGTGTAAGGTGCTTATGAAGTGGGAAACAGCTGCCCTTCATTCCAGACAAAAAGGGAAAATCTGCATGTATTTTGGATACAGAAGTTTTCCGTATACTTTCAGTAAAATAGAATCATCTGAAGGCCACAGCATTCAAATCTGCTTTCTACCTTAGGTATTAAATACACTATTTTATTGAAATAAATACATGTTAGAAATGACACATGTTCATCTTAAAGGAAGAAAATTAAGATTAATATTGTTGTAATGTCTGTTTCTATAAGCTATATGAAAACGGATGTGCTACTTCAAGATATCATGGAAGGTGGCATAACTCTACAAAATAAGCAAAAGACAACTTGCCAATATTAGGAGATTTGATGATCAATTTTATTCTACTTTAACTCCAAATGATCACTCTAATTTGCAGACATTATCACCTAAATTCCCAAGCAAAACAGTTACTCAGCAAGCTGCCTGGCCATTCCACCTGTAACTAAAAACAGAGATTATCTGCACTGAGGTGGCATTTCTATAGGGTCAGAAACGCAATCGTTTGGTTATTATGTGATATGTATTCTGGAAAAGCTTGCCTGATTATGGGTTTGGTTTTATTCTGTTGTGTGGCTTTTTTTCCTTCAAAAAAGTTTGCAGTTAGTTATTTAGCATATAGTGAGACATTTGGAGCACACATTTTGTTTGCACATCTGTCCATAGGTGAAATTCTGGTGTGCTTACTCTCTTCAGGTAAGCAGGTGATCCACCCCAACCAAATCCCCATCGTCCAGGAGCAGTTCACTCCCTCCCCAGAGAAAATCCAGTGGGCTAAGGAACTGATTGCTGCCTTTAACGAGCACCAGCAATTAGGAAAGGTAAATGTTTTGTCACCGCCTTGGGTAAAACGGGGGTTTAAAATACTCTGGGGGAGAATGGAAAAAATGTTTGAATAGCTTGAGGAAAATTCATTTTATTTGGTGATGGGGGGGGGGTGAAGGGTGAGACAGTCAGTGAAGGTAGATTTCCCCTCTCCATTCCTAAATATCTCACTATAGCTAGCTCTCCAGTCTCTTGTTTTATTCTTTTCATAAAATACATTGGCATCCTTAGAGAAAATAGAAGTCTGTTTAGTTTTTCCTCTGTAGAATTCCATGCAGCATCATATGAAAATAATTTTAGATCAAAGTGAGAGCAAGTTGTAATGAAATAAACACAGTTTGAACCAAATGGTTCTTGTGGAGAAAAGAAATAAATTTCAAGTTATTTTAATTTGGGGGAGGGGCACAAAAAAGTACAAAAATCTCCTCTGGTTTAATCATTTAAGAGTGGGAGGTTGTATGTGTGTTTGTACCGATTTCTGGACTTGAGATTTGGATAGAATGGAAAGCAAATTAACACTGGAGAACGGTTGTTCCTAATTTAGTGCATCATTGAGCCTCACGTTTCCTGCTCTGTGGGTTTCTGCTATGTAAATATTGCAGTGGTAATGCACAATCTGTCTCCACTTTGTGCCAGTAACACTTAAATTAGGTGTCGCCTGAAGGAAGATTTTTATGCTAGTTGCAGCATTGTCAGTTAATTATCTTAAAGGTTATTTGCAATAATACCGTTTGCCTCTTTTTAAGAGGATAGGAGGGAAAGTTGCATCTATAAATCTATCCTAGAAGTAATCTCTAAACTCAGCCTTGTGATTCCCATAAGGAATAAAGTTTTCATGCCTTCAATGCAGATTTACTTAGGAGAAAGAATAATGAAAATAATGAAGGTTTTGAATGTTAAACAGTGTCCCTTCTTTAAAAATTTTAAAAAATTAAAAAGAAGAAAAGCAGGTGCAGTGGTAAAATCTGTGAGGTCCGTGTGAGAAGTGACCTTTGCACGTCCACCAGCAGCAAAAACACCTGAGGACCCCAGGACTTGTAAACATGGGTGACAACATTACATGAGTCCTTCCCTATGCTATGGCCTTCAACATTGACCTTCAACCCTGACCATGCATACACACATGCAAATGCACATGCATGCATGCTCATCTTTGCACAGAATCACTAACAGAATATGCTATCTCGGAAACATCCATACTTGCTTGGGTGTGTATCATTTCATTATGAAGATCATCCTTTCATTTTGCATCCACAGTGGCCATCAAAAATAAATAGGGCAATTCATAGAAAATATTTATTTTTCTTTTTTTCTTAATCTTTAACTAGTTGTACAGATTTCAATTCAACATGTCAGTTTATGAGTACAGTATTGTGAACAGTGTCACTCCTATCATTCTCCCCCATCAAATAGAAAAATATTTCTGTGTTGACCTGTTGTATTTTGTCCATCTCTACATATTAAATCAAAACTCAAGATCCAGCCAGATGCTGGTGGTTCACCCCTGTAATCCTAGCTACTCAGGAGGCTTAGATTTGAGGATTACAGGTCAAAGCCAGCCTGAGAAAGGAAAGTCCATGAAATTCTTATCTCCAATTAACCATCAGAAAACTGGAAGTGGAGCTGTGATGCAAAGTGGTAGAGTGCTACCCTTGAGAAAAAGAGCTCAGTAGCAGTGCCCAGGCCCTGAGTTGAAGCCCCATGACCGACAAAATAAAATTTAAAAAGTCCTCAAAATCCTCTATGAATAATCAGACATTCCCCTACAGAGAAGACCAAGGACGGACTCATTTACACATGCAAACAACTCCATCCTCTTCCTTCTTGCTAAGTAACAGCTAGCCTGCATGAATACACATACTAACTTCCTCTACTTTATTCTTTACACCAACTAAGGATGCACATATGACAAACACTGCTATTGAAATAGTAAACTGAGGCAGCATGTACTCCATTAACACAACAGCGCAAAAGTTGCAGGGTGAGCTGGCAGAGCTTCCATGAACCATCCTCACTGCCTTGCATGTTGAGTAGCAAGGAAGGTGGCCACCTAGCCTTGTAAGCAGTAGGCTGACAGGTTACCATACATTTCACTAACCTCCAAACAAAACTCAAACCAGAAACATTCTTTTCCTAACATTTCAGTTCTTGAATAAGAGAACAACAACCTTTTCGTTGTATCTTGAAAATGTTGTTCCCAGGGGAATTGTCCATGCCTTCTGATTAAGTGTTAAATTCGGAACCTCTCCTCCCTGCAAGAAGAATTGCCCTCTTGTTGGGAGCATAAGCTTTCACAACACTGTGGTAGGATGGTTTTTCTTAAACAACCATAGAAATTCGAGTGGAGGAGAGACAACCTATTAGGTCATTCTTTCCTTCCCAATTTGTGGAGGTATATTTCCTACAGCAAATTCTCCAGGTGCTTTGTCCAGCAATGTTCAAATTATTCATATAATGGAGTGTTCAGTTAGCATGTTTCTTTTACTTGCATATAATCTGTCTGGCCACAAAAATTGCTGATACTGGGTCTTGAGGGGTTCTTGGATTCTTGGAGTTTAATGGTACGGGTTCTGTTCATAAAGATTTCCATATAAATAGGTAATCCAGTTGTAGAAAGAATCATCTCCAACAAATGTCTAATCTATTTAGCTTCAAATGGGAATCAGTTGATGAAAACATGGACTCTTCATTATTTCCCACAGCACAGATGACTCTTTAAAAATTGAAAACTGATGGTTTATGTCATAATGAGACACTTGGACATTTCTAAAAGACTTCCCCCTAATCAAACAAAAATGTCATTCAAGTAATTTAACTAGAAACAACCCAAGAATGTAAAATTATATATCTTTGCATTTCTGTATTTTCCTGCTCCTATCTTAAATATTTTGCCCAAAGACCAAAGACATAGCTAAGTTCATAGTTAATACTGAGTCATTTGTGTTTTCTATAGTAATAACAATTATGGCTATTGTTATTCACACATTAACAGTCCTACTTTTTCTTTCTGCCTTCTCCAAAGGACAAAGTTAATATAAGTAGTTAGATCATGAAAAGATGATTTATTGGGGTTCACAGTCTTTGATATCACAGATTTTGTTTTCCTTTATTTCAGTGGAAAAAAAGGATATTGTAGATGTGGAGTTTAATGATTTTAGCATCATGTCAGGGAGAAAACCACTTTAAATTAGAAAATAATAATCATCAGCTCATTCACCTATTACTCTATGGCAGGTAATACTTGGGGACTGTGTTGTTTCAGCAGTCTCAAGAAGTCTTTCAGGCTAAAGAATTTGTCCTGGCATAGCAATCCCCACTAGTCAGATGGAAGGTAATATTAGGGACTCAAGATTATCTTCTTTCATTAAAACTGGTCAGCATCTATGCTCCTATTATATTTTTTTGGAGGGGGGTTCAGTCCTGGGGCTTGAACTCTGGGCCTTGGCACTGTTCCTGAGCTCTTCAGCTCAAGACTAGCGCTCTACCACTTGAGCCACAGCACCACTTTTGGCTTTTGCTGTTTATGTGGTGCTGAGGAATTGAACCCAGGGCCTCATGCATGCGAGGCAAGCACTCTACTACTGAGCCACCTTCCCAGCCTCTGCGCCTATTTTAATTCCCCAAACTGAAAACTGTAATTTAGCTAATAATAGCAGTTGTGAGGTACCCATCCACATGTGAGTCAAACTGGTCTTCCCATCCTTGCAGAAGAACGTACTTTGAGAGGCAACCAGCATCAGATTAATTTTATTAGCTTTAAATTATTGAACAGAAATACTGCAGCCAGGATTTCCATGTTATTTGTCTTAAATTTATAAAGGATTTTCTTAAAAGTCAGTTCCATTTTATATTTTCTTTCATAATAATGGTGATTACAACAATATTGAAAATTCTCCATCCAGATCTAGATTTAGTATTGACTTATGGAAGAAATTGGACTTTAACAGTTCTTTATTCTTAACCTAGAATTTTATGTAGTATGAAAACTGGATATTTAAAATAAAAACTTCACAAGTAAAGAATTAACATTGATATAAATAGAAACTAACTTATGTAGAAATAAATATGTATAAAATACATATTTATATTAAGTATATTTCAAACTATTTTTTCACATCTGTATTGTGAACTTAGTGTTAATTTTTTTCTTTTTATTTCTTCATTACTTAGTGGGCAAAAATGATAGCTAGAGGAATGAAAATTTATTGCATTTTAAAAATAATAATCATAGGGAAATTCAAATGTAAGAATTACATTTCTTTCTAGAAAAATGTCAAAATTCTAACAAAAATTTGAAAGGAAATAAACTTACATACATGTATCTATAATTCATGTAATAGATTTTTAAATTGCTTTCTTAGAACACACATGTTTATTTTTGCATGATTGCCTCATTTTCAGTTTTCCAAGCATCATTCTGTTTTATTCATATTATTGCAGTGTTTTACTTGGCTTTGGGAGAATTGTGTTTAATGTCTTCAATATTTTTCATTTGTTGTTATAGTTTCGCAAGCTGGTTAAAGACCTCGGAAGGGAGAAATTCATATTATAATCTAGATTCGATTAATGACCATAAAGGTCAAAAAGAAGGTCAGTGCCTGACATAGCAACTGTAAATGCCCACACATACGTTATAATTTTACTCATGAGCAAACAATAGTGCAAATTAACAAGAGGACATTATATATACCCTGTACTGGAATATAAATTAAGAACTTCTCTCTTAATAAAGAAAATAGGAAGTCAGAATTGTTTTCCTCATGTAAGTCTTTTCATCTAGAAAAGTGCAAACAGTTATAAATCTCCCCTCCTCCATACTGAGCACAGAAGGTTTTCATAGGTATCTGATTGCAGCTCACACACCTTTCCTTTATGTTTCCAAATGCAAGGCTTTACAAAAGAAATACTGTTCGGTCCAGATGGCCTTCTCCAAGGCTCCCTGAGAGAACTCGAGAAGTCTCTCTAGCCAAAAATATTGTTTCCGCTTATTCAAGTG